TAAAAAGCATAAAGAAAATCAAATCTGATCCCAGCAGATCAATGAAAATACTTCAACAGTAGATTCAGGATTTACATAAATGTCCAGGAGAGTGACAGCCTGAAGTGACCTTGAGCTGTCTTTCTTCCCCCTACTTCTCTCTGGTTCACACTCTGCATGTCTTCTACTTACTTTACAAGTTGTTTTGGAGCAAGGAAATGTTCTGTTGTGTGTTTGTAAAACATCAAGTGTTCTTCTGTAACCTCCTTCCCTGTGCCCCTGGGTAGGTTGCTTCTTTTCTTCCAAGTCTTAGTTGAGTTCTCTGGGAAGGGAGGATGCCAACTACTGCCCTTTTAAAGTACTGTCTGTGGAGCATGGAGGTGAAAACCTGAGCACAAATGTCTGCACACTTGAGAGATGAGAAGGGAGATCTGAGATTTGTAATTTTATTCCTGGGTCTGCTGGTCATACATGGGGAAAGATTTATAGGCGGTATTGCTGGAGTGAGATGTAAGTGATACCCTCTTTGACTTAGCCAGTGTTTGAGAGTTTTGGAGGTTTTTTTGGCTGGGTGCTACCCAAGAGAAAAAAGGTGGTAAATGTGCTAGAGGAGAAAAATCAGCTTTAAATGATGTCAGAATTATGGTTAATAGTAACTTAGCAAAGCAAAGAAGGACAACTGACCTTACTTACTCTGCATCAGTAAGCAGAGTTACTTGACCACGTGAAAGTAAATGCTGTAAAAAAATTGACCAGAAAAAGTTGTCTTTGATTTAACATTTCTAAGCTTTTATTTCAACATTTCATATAATTATTTTGGCTTTTTGAGCAACAGCTTAAGGGGATCCAAATGGAAAGTTAAATCTCTTAAAATATAAATGTGAACTATCTACTCTTTCCTGCCCCTTCTTCCTTCCTTTCTCTCTCCATTTACACATACATCCCCTATTTCCTACGTCTCTGAACTACAGCCAGCAGCTGAATGAGGTCCATCTTGAATGTATAGGAAGAGGGGGGAATCCATTAATGTAAAGATTAAGGGGGAGATATAACTACAAGTTCTTCAACAGATATACCTCCTGTAAGGAGATTATGTTTTAAATCCTGTGTACTGTATATGGGTTTAGCTACAGTCTTTGGGAAAAAAAAAAAACAACAAAACCCAACAACAAACAAAACCCAAACAAAACCCAGAACATGGTTAAATAATGCTTTCTGCCAATTTCTTAGCTGATTCACTTGCTTTTAAATCAGCAGTTTGCATATATGTGAGTGGAAAAACTAATCGCAGGAGTTTCTTGTTGTTGCTTTGTAACCTACTCAAAATGCTGTGTGAAAAATAGAGGAATCCACTGTTCCTTTGATCATTTGATGCTCTGTGGGTGAGCAGCTTGTCACATTTTAGACTACCTCAAAAACAAGCAAACAAGCTTGCTTCTGTAGTTATGATGGTCTCATGATACGATGGTCTTATGATACACTCAGGACAATGTTTGGCAAGAATGGTCATGTCCTATGTTTCGGCCAGCTGATATGCTTTGCAGCTCGAAGGAGAAAACAAGCTGAGAGGCACACAAGGCCTTTCTTAGTCCGAAACAAAAGCGGCAAACCTCGTTAAAACTTGTTTTGTAATAACTTACAAAGCCTACACAGGCTTTTGGAGAGCCCGATTCCCATGGTTTTTGCCATACTACACTTTTAAAAGGAACAATTTTACTCCTGAATTAAATATTTGATCTGTATGCAGTGTTTTGTAACTAGGTGTTAGTATATTTATAAAAGATATTTTTTAAAACCCTATTTGTATTAATAATACACATTTAATGTATGTGAAAAAATCTTTTCTTATAAAAAACCCCACCTTTTCTCTATTTGCTGAAATGTCTTTTGAGAACTAAATGATATTGGTATTGGGACAAAATGTTTAAATCCTATATTGGCTATTTTTTTAAGTTCTTAAACTTAATGCAGTTGACTTTTAGCACAGAAAACCTGTGTTTGATAATGTGTGTTTGATAATGGCGGTAACGTGGCAGATAATCAGTACCTGTAATTTTCCTGTGCCATAAACCAGTTGCATCTCTGTCGGTGATTATGAGAAATAGTCTGTAACATGCAAAAATTTTCCAACAAGAATGCCCAAAGGGTTTTAAAAAAATAATAAAAAAAGTGCGTAAATATGTATTTGCACATGTGCACGCTCTCTTTTAGAGTTTCTTTTTTGAAAGCCGTTACTGAAGATGCTCTCTTCCTTACCCATATAACACAGTATTCTGTGCTTCAGTGGGGCAGTATAGAGCTTGCATTACAAGGACAAATACTGAAATGTTAAAAATAGATCAAGCTTTAAGAATCCCAGATATTTTCAAATAACAAAGAGTGATTTATGTGGGCTCATTTTGCACTTTGACAAAATATAGAGGCGCTTTTGTACTGTGATTAGCACGGGTGCTGATGTCAGTTTGCTTGTCTAGCTTTAAGCTTTATTCTGCTGCTAAATTGTGCTTTGTGCTGTAATCCAGAGAACCTTTGTATCTGCCTTATTAGTGTGTAGTTTATGGAATTGCTTTTGTTTTTGAATATAATCTGTGCCAGTTTCAGTGAGTGTGACTCATTATATGTCTGAAATAAACATTCACATATGCACTATGTGAAAACTTCAAAAATAGCAGCAGGTGCTGGTAGGCTAAATTCAGTGTTTTAAGTGCTTTATATTTGCTACTTTGTAGCCCAGAGGGCTGAAAGCAAGTTCTGTTTAGCTGGTTGATTTTTCTGAATTTAAGAGTCTTATTTCCTTATTAATGCTCAACAGAAACTGTCAGGATTGCCGAGAATCTTACGCTCCTTAACAAAGTTCTAGAAATAAATTTCGAAAAGAGGCACACTTGGCTGTTATAGAGTTGATTTACAGGGTTTTGGGGGTTATTTTTGTAACACAAATCGTGAGACAAAATGCTTCGCGCTTCTCAATTGCTCTTGTCCCTCTCCTATCTCTAATCTCTTTTCCTCCCGACTTAAGCTTTGAAAATTTCATCTGAATGACCAAAGGCCGAGGTTAAAGATAAAGGTAGTTTCTGAAGCAACACAATTTTGCAGCTTGGTTCGTAGCGGTTATCTGTGATCGACCTTGTCTAGAGAGAGCGCCTCTGATATTGAAGTTTCCTGTTATCCCAGCATTTAAGTTGTCACTTGATTGTGACAAACTTTGCCAGTGTTTTTTGGGTTGCTGTTAAACAGCACTTAATCAGCTGTGCTACCAGAGTACGCTCACGTTTGAGATATAAATTGTAGGGCTTTCGTCTGTTAGATTTTCTGTGTTTTACTGTTCACACGGTTAAACTTAACTGCTACCGTGGAAATTGTTGCTTGAGAGCTTGACTTGGTTCACACAGTTCAGCATTTAAAGGCAGATGCTGTATTCACAACTGCAAGAAATATACTTGTTTTATAAAGTATAAAAGTTATCTTAAATCAACTAACTTTTAGAGGCTCGGTAGCTGGAGAATGGATCACAAGCCTTAATTAAGCTGTCTGGCATTTTTCCCTTTCTCCTGTTTGCTGTATTATCTTTTCATAATAGCTTCCTAAGCTTGATACCCAAAGCAGGCATGCCCGCTTGACAATGAGGGTTTTGTGAGGCCCTAGTGCAAAGCTGACGGCGCTAGTTCGGAGCTGGAAGATGGCAGTGCAGTTCTCCCTCTGTCCTTTATGCCCTCCCTCTGCCAGTTTGTTGGAAGGTAACGTGGTGTGAGTCTGCGGTGTAACGCACGGTGGCTTTGCTGCTGCGTTGGTTTGCCTTGGTCTTCAACTTGGCTGAAAACCATAAACACAAATGGACAAAACAGTGATGGCTCCCCACTGTATCCAGGCTCTACTTTCAGATTTCCAACTGTGAATGCAGTGCAGGCCTTCTAGTTGGCAATGGCGCTATGTCTAGTTTCTTCAACTGTGCCCGTTATCCTGTCACTTGTGCATATAGGGAAGCTTTCTCGCCGAGAATGCTGTATTGCTGGTAGAGCTGAGGAAACAAAAGGCAGCTAAGTGGGACAATAAAGGTGCTGTTGGTAAGGCCAGGACAGTTGTATGCAAACCTTCATTTTTTTGGTTTGAGTTAGCATCTTTGGTGAGAGTTATGCCAGGTGACAGAGGCCCATGGGGGATGAAAGGCAGCTTGAGGATGAGTTGGAAGATGAGACGTTTTATTTGTGCTTTTCTCCTGGACCAGCTTCTTTCACTCCGCAGCAACAGGAAAGCTGGTGTAATGAGCACGGCATCAGATTGTAAAGTGTATTTCTTCTGTGGGCATATCTTCCACAGAGATTGTAAAAGCAGTAGATGCTGGAAACAAGACACTATGGAGCACTTAAAGATATACTTTATTTTGTCTTCCCCATGCTTACGTTGGCTTCCTTCAGAAGTTTTTTGCATGTGCATTTTCCCCCTTCTGGTCCCCTCCCGGCTTTTCTCTTTACTGGATTAATCCTTTCTCATTTTGCAAACAATGATTTAATTGTATGTCCCTTTCTTAAAAACAAAGCTCAAATACAGAAGAAATAAACTTTAAAATACGAATTCAGTAATCCTCTAGTCCACTGCTGTAACAATATGTAAATGGGTTGTGTTAAATGTAGGTAACTGGTGTGTTATCTCTTGGAATTATAATTGAACTACTTATTATTACTTGAACTGACCCAGGTTGGAATCATACACAAAAGCTAACAGTCTTAAGGTATGATTTCTTGCTTCTAATTATCATCTCTTTTTTTTGTCTCTCCAATTTTCAGGCATGGAAGAGGAGATGGTTTGTGCTTCGCAGTGGCCGTTTAACGGGGGATCCAGATGTATTGGAATACTACAAAAATGACCATGCCAAGAAGCCTATCCGTATTATTGACTTAAATTTATGTCAACAAGTGGATGCTGGATTAACATTCAACAAAAAAGAGTTTGAAAACAGTTATATTTTTGATATCAACACTATAGACAGAGTTTTCTATTTGGTAGCAGACAGCGAGGAGGAGATGAATAAGTGGGTTCGATGTATCTGTGATATCTGTGGGTTCAACCCTACAGATGAGGGTAAGTTCTGTTGGTTTTTCTGAGAAAGTGTGATGCCTACATGTGAAGAATATTTCAAAGATCAGATGACTATCTTTAGCTGGCATATTTTTTCAAGCTTGTATGCATTGGCTATGAAACTTCCTTGTTACTCTGGAAAAAAAAGTAAGCAGAACAGAGGGAGATACTCAGAATTTGTTACCAATTAAGTATGCCGTACAACTTGGATGATGCTCTTCTCTTTTACATGATGTTAGATCTTGACAGTATAGGAAAAATTTTTAAGTAAGATCATGCGAAACAGAAGATCATCATAGTCATCAAAGGAATCCCATT